GGGCTAATTTTATCTTTGAATGAAATTATTATTTTTCTACTTTTTATTGATCATGATGTGTCATGATAAGATTATGTCACATATGTGGTGTAAATGATCCAAGTGTTGTCCTTTACCATCCCTACTACAAACATGTTTATATTCGTTGGCATGTCTCTCACCTCAATGAGACTGGAATTCTCTATATTTTGTGTACAATCATTTAAGTATATTACTTTATAAATCTATTCCAGAGCAAACATCCCCATCTTTAAAGAGGATGAGAGAGGGATTCGAGTATGACTTGAGCAAAATGTGTGTATTCATCACGTGTGTTTCTTGTCAAGCTAAAAAATTAAAAATAATTAAAAATAAAACCAAGTCCATCCCATGATGGCTAATGATAGATTATTTCATATCAAACTTTTCTCCGGAAATTATTTCTTAACTAAATAATTCGTAGGCAAATACTTCATTTTCCTCTCCACAGGGTTTCTGTTAAACCCTAACATCTCAAAATCAAAATTCTCATTGGCAGATTTGAATTCTTGTAAGTTATGGACACGTCCAAAAAGTGTCTCCTTGTATCCCTAGTGTATCCAATTTGTTTTTAAAAAAAGGAAATTTAAAATTCGGTTACTTCTTGGTCGTATCTTTGTCAAACATGTGTTAAATATGGGGGGAAGAATTTGTGTTTTCTAAGTGCAGAGACATGTTCATTTGAGGACTGAGATTCATCATTCATGTGCAGATAGAATAATAAGCAGTTGCAAGAAAACACAAAATTTTGATGTGTTTGAAACTTCATACTGCATTGGGTTTGCATATCACAGAAGGAGAATGACACACGGTCTCTTCTCTTCTAGTCTTTCCATATGTCCATACTTAATTGTCTATCTCAATAAATGTCACATGCATACAACCTTAGAAGAGAAGGAATGATAATTTGATATATATTTTGTAGAGCATTTGCAATGTAAAGAATTCTCAGCACCTAAAATCATACACTACGACCTGAATTTATGCTCAATATATCCATCAACCAACACTGATTAGTTGTACATGGTATACTTGTACTCATGCCTTGCTCCTTCGCTTTCTCTAGTGTCTGATCCTCTCGGGTGTCCTATTCATTCATTCCATGTTCTCATGATTGTGTACTATGAAGGTGGTGAAACCCTCACATACAATCTCTTAAATACCATGTTAGTGGGAGTAATAGGAATTAAGCCTAAAGGTTATGTTAGTGTGAGTAATTGAGCACTTAAATGTAATTGTTACACCTATGTTCATGTGGCCTATATATTCATGTACTCTAGTTAAATAATAGTAGAAGTGGAATAAAATAATTTTTCAAGTATTCCACCATATCATTCACTTCCAAAATATTATTGAGTGTTGTGTGTATCTAGGTCACTATTTCCAACAAAGTAGTATCAAAGTAAAACTAAAAAGTGGTATTATAGCAAAAGCCAACAAAGTGGTATCAGAGCCAAATTTCATGTTCAGAGTCTAGACGATCCTGAAGGCCTGACGAAATTGATCCTAAAAGATTCAACATTTTGAGAAAAACATGTGTTCTCCTTGATGATGATGAAGATGGGAAAATTTATTTTCTTAGTGAGAAGATGATGTTATCTAATTACAAGAGAATGAGAATCATCATGACTTTATACCTCAAAGCATGTGATTTATGGGATGTTGTTGGAGAAGAGCCAAAGAATGGCATGTCCAACAAGTTTCGTGAAAATAATAATAATAATAAAAGAAGGCATTTGTGGTATTGCAAAAGGCAATACATCAAGAAATTTGGGAGTATTTTGGAGAGTCCAAAACTTCAAGTTGTGTTTGGAAGATGCTCGAGACCATCGTTTCCAATCATAGAGGTGAATCACTACCCATGGAGTATTGGGTACAATACTTTGAGGATGATGAGTTTACGAAAACTGATTATAAAAGTTTAGAAGACAAATTTGTGGAGAAGGAAGAGGCTTATAACACAAATGAAGTTGAAGAAATTGAAAATTCAAAAGTTGAAGGCCAAGTGAAATGGTGAATAAGGAAGAGATAAAGAAAGGTGTTGAAGAAGGGATTGAAAAAGTGAAAGAGATTGAAGTGGAAAGAGAAATTAAAGAAGAAGAAAGTGCTAAAGAAGAGGCAAAAGTTGATGAAATTGGTGAGTTAATAATTTCAGGTATGGTTCCAAATTCCAATTTCAAAGAAGTTAGATATAACTTATTTGATCAAATTTTGATTTCTTCATATTCATCTCAATTGGAAAACGAAATCAAATATTATGATAATTATGTTCATGTTGTGGAGAATGACAAACTTCTCTTAAAGAAAGTTGTTCCAAAGAAGTATGAAATTGAAGCTCAAGATGATAAAAAAATTCTCAAATTATTTTTTAAAAAATAGTTTGGAGAATTTTGTAATTGACACAGGTTGGGTGAATATGGAGTCATTTTTTTACTCTAAAGAAGCAGCACGTGTGAAGTGGAAGAGTCATAAAAAATTCAAGAAGAAAAAATATAGATGGTGCTTTTGTATAAAGAGGATCAGATATGATTGTGTGAAGACATCAAACAAGCATTTGAAGATTTTTCACAAGTCATATACATCAATGGAAATGGCCAAGAAGATTGTTGTAGTTGAAGGAAGTGGAACTCAAGACAAAGTAACAAACTTTTGATCAAGCCCTCAAGATCAATAAGAAGCTTACTTTCAAGTTACAAAATCAAATTTAAAGGGGGGAGTTGAAAATAAACTTGATTTTAGAATTTTAGTATTAATTAATATTTTAAAGTATTTGGTATACATGATGCATGCATGTATTCATTTCATGTTAGTAGGGTAGTAAATAGTCTTGATGGTGAAGGTTATGCAAAATGAAGAGATGTGAGAATTAAACCTCCTACATACCATGTTAGTGGGAGTTATTAAGCACTTAAATGTAATTGTTACATCTATGTCACGTGGTCTATATATATTCATGTGTTTTAGTTAAGTAATAATAAAGTGGAATAAAATAACTGTTACACCATGTCGCCAATATATTCTTAATTGAGTACCAGAGCCTGAGAAATGACGATGATACAGACTTTTTGAGAGAAGAGGCTGATACTCTGCACATCAGGCCCTACCAACCTGATGCTTCAGCGGTTGACCATTTCAATCTGCTTGACGAAGTTGATGCTCAGTACAATGATGGATGGTGGGTAGGTGTGATTTCCAAAGTTCTTAATGGCCCAAGGTACGTGGTTTACTTCGGGGAATCTAACGAGGAAATGGAGTACGAGGAAATGGAGTTCAAAGACGCTGATTTAAGGCTACATCAGGACTGGATTGATGGCAAATGGATCGTGGCTTCCAAGGCATGCATGCTACATGCTTTTAACAGACAGACTTGAATTTGATTGTGTGATGCAGGAAAAAAGGTTTTGGAATCTACATTTTCCGTTACTTGGGAAAAGGCAGTGTGATATATTAAGCAAACCAAACAAGTTTAAAAGGCAAGTAGACAGAGACAGTATGCATGGCCGGCTGGAGCCTTAGGCGGTCGCCCTAAGGCCCCGGCTTGTAGACTGTTTTAGTATTAGGCCCATAAGTTTTAATTCATCTTACATTCTTATGTTCCAATGTTACAAGTAGTTACGGATTTGGATGGGAATTGAAGTGTGTATAAATGGGTAGTTATGTAGCATTACCCAATAGTTTGGGTTTTTGGATAAATGGGCAACTGTCCACTGGTTATTGTTGATATCAGAGCTAAACTCAATCCTTAATCCGGTGTCACACTAAGCTTCCGGCCGGAAGGTGTCCGGATCTGACCCTGGATAGGCAAGATAGTCCGATCACAACGAATATTACCTAACGACTTAAACTTTTGAATAAATGGGCGAGCGCACACCCTACCCTACAATTTTATTTATCCTGGTATTGAAATTTGATAAAACTTTTCATCTACTCCCAGTTTTTCACTACATTCCTACCTTTTTTACTATACTCCTAATTTTTATCCATTCTCTCTATTACTTTTTTATATATCCTCATCTCTACTCACGTTTTTTTTCCCCCTCCTCATTAGTCTCTCCATTGAACTAAAATCATACCCATATTTCTCTCATTTCATCTCTCTCTTTTTCTCTTTTAATCTCTCACATCTTTTAGTATTTTTGAACTCTTTCATATTTTGTTTTCTTTTGAACTTTTACTTTGTATGTTTCTCAATGTAATATTCCAAAAGATATGAAATTAGTATTTTGTTTCCAAGCTAATATATTTAATATTAAGACGCCACTTTTATACTTTTCACCTAAAGCCTCAAATTATATTGAGCAGGCCTGCAAGCATGAGAGCAATATGTCCCAAGTTGTTGGCATTTTTCTGCTCTTGGTGCCCTTCTTTTGAGCTGGCTCTTCTGCATGGATCAAGTGTTCATAGTTAAATCTATATTTGTGGTGCCCTTCTTTTCTTTCTCAGTTCGAGTTTCAAATCTCAAGACCAACATATTTCCTCTTCTGTTTCAAGTTTTCACTGTTGAATCTGAATTTTCGTCTGAGTCACCGGTTGACTAACTGGGAATTGTTTTCAGGCCTTGAAATTGTAATTGACATGGAAGGTGCAAGCATAAAAGAGCTTCGCAACGAGTATCTGAGGTACCATGGAAGTGGTGTGTATTCTTTCATCCTAAGGTAGAAGCTTGACTACATTTCTATTCAAGGCCTCCAGTTACTGTTGCAATGTAGCATTTTTTTACCATTACACATTAGCCCTATATCGAATTTGCCTTTTCTAAAATTCAATTCGTTTCTGTCACTCTTCTGTGAAAATGCTAGCATAGTGGTGCTTTCTTACTTTCCAAAGTGAAAGATCGAAAGTTACATCTAGTCTCTGTAAGAGCATGTGGCTGCATGTTAAAATGATTCGGATGCTTAATACTATTTACTCTTACCAGAACATGGCAACATACTCAAGAAACAACCTTCAAGTAGATATATTCAAATATCTCTGCTATAAATACTTTGTAGCATCTTCAGATAAATATAGAACCCTATAATAATTTTAACCCTTAATTTCATAGAAGTCTAATTATAGAAAACATTCAGAAACATCAACAGAGAGATAATAAAAGGGCACTATTATTTTGGGTACATGAAACACTTTATCTTTTAATTAGCAGCTGGTGCTACACTTACACCTCCTTCACTCCATTAGTCACTCCATTGCTTTTCTTCATCTCCTTCACTCCTCCATTGACTCCATTAGTCACTCCATTGCTTTTCTTCACCTCCTTCACTCCATTAGTCACTCCATTGCTTTCCTTCACCTCCTTGGCCTCCTCAACCTCAAAAGCCGACACCGGAAAAGACCTGGATATACCTGTGGGAGTCTTGAAATTGATCTTTGTGGTAGGCGGATCGTCGTTGTGTATGTCACTCACTGTGATCCAAAGAAAGAGCTCCTTAGTCTTGACACCAGTCAGCTTCTTGATCTTGTTTGGGTCGGCGTAGGCAGTGATATCAGTTGCAAAGGACACAAGCCTGCCAACCTTGTCAAACTTGTGTTCAGTCTTCTTCTTCTGTTTGAGCCAAACAAATCCTGTGTCTTTGACATAACCACACTCTACTATGTTTTCCAAGGGTAGGAGGCCATTGGGCAAGCCTACTTCCTTGAGGAGGAGCTTTGTTTTCTCTTGGCAGATTTCATCTCCATAGTAGACCTCTGCATTGGCTTTGATCTCTTCTGTGACCAGAGACATTTTTTTTTTTTTTAGGTTTTGGGCTTGTTGGTTTTGCTGTTTGATGAGTTATAGCTAGGAATAGGACGTGATGGGATGGGATGGGATGGGAAGAACTGAAGAAGGGGTGTTATATAGTTGCAACACTACATATTTGCCATTCATTTTGTAGTGAACTACAAAATTGCCCTTGCCTCTGCTGAATATAAGAGAGTGATGTAGATATACCGTTGAATAGAAGAGAGACACTGATATATGTTGAATATGTTTTGTATATTTAAGTGTATATGAAACATGTATAGCTATACAAGGAGAGATATAAATAAGTTAGAGATCACTAACGGCTATACAATAATCACGATAACAATTTAGATAATAATTATAATATAATGTAATTATAGTAGCAATCTAAACAACGGTTATAATATAATCTAATTATGTTAACAGCCTTAGTGTTGCAACTATATAATATTTCTCAAAGGGTTTTTATTTTTAATTATTATTATTTAAATTTCCGCTTTATAGTTTATCACATTTTTTTTACAAAAAAAAATAAAAAAAACTATGACGGGAGTCCTCTCATGTGAGTTTATGTTGTCACTCATCAGATGAAAAGGCTATGAGAGTGTGATTTTTTATCCAATTGTTGAAGATGCTAGTATATGATGATGATATATTCTCACAATAGACTTACTTTCTTTTCTTTTCTTTTTTCATAAAAGAATCTAATTTTAAATTTATGCAAAATTACCTTGCAAATTAAAAGGGTTTTGTTTTTGTCTTTCCCATCATGCTTTAGGTTATCACAAATTGGACATGGATATATATATATATATATGTGTGTGTGTGTGTATGTATATACGGGACAAATTTGCATAGGGAGGTGACATTTGCAATCTGAAAAAGAAAAAAAATAAATAAACTCACATGTCTTCCATTAAATCTAGTTAATGAAAAAAAATAAGAGTACTTTTGCAAAAGCCATCAGAAATTGTACTTTTAAGGAATGATGTGAAGAGCCATGCATTTCTCCATTTCTCCATCAACTTCTTTCCAAAATATATAAATGTTACGGAATATAAAGTTGTGTGTCAGTTATTACCAACCCAAAGTAAGTGTGTTATACACTAGCTATAAAATAAAACAAGATCCCCACTTTCTTTTCTTTCTTTCTTTTTGTGAATAATTGTGATATTTTTATTTTATAATACTATAATTGCCATTTTTTAAAGGATATTAGCAAAAAAAAAAAATTGAGTTCAGAAATAATTCATATAACAGAATATATGATTTTCTATTAAAAAAAAAAAAAAAAGGCGGGAAGAAGAGAGAGAAGAGAGAGAGAGAAAAACACTCAAATGTAAAGTTTGATTTGAGGTCTTCAAAATGATTGGAGCACCCCCATTAAGTTGAATTTGGGTTGTATGAATAATTCATATACAACAGAACATGTTTGTTTGTTTGGTTCTCGTACTGTAATCAGGATACATTGATAGAAAGTTGATATATTGATAGACGTGAATTTTGTCGTACGAGAGCGCAATATCTTGCTTACACATGGCCACACCAAATGTATCCTGATTACAGTACTTTTCAATGAATGTTTCATCTACTCTCTTTAACACGCATGGTATGTCAATTGGTAATCGACTACTCTTCCTTCCAGCTACAACTTTCTTTTTAATTCCCTCTAACTGTTTTTCTCTATTCACAATCAATAGTACGTACTACTAATAGTTAAGAACCTCCTAAATACACCCTCCACTCATCATAAATTTCATCCCTCATGGTCGGTCAAATAAAAAAATTCGTAAAGGGAAAAAATAGTTTTGTAACGATTTACTTTATACAATATATTTTTACGTACGATATTCACATTCTTATTATATATATATACAAATGTCTCGATAGTCTAATGGTTAATGTCTCCAGGGAATTTTGGAAGTGTTCAGTTTCGACTTTTTGCACTTACTAATCTAACTTCTAATTCTTCTTGCCTTATATATATATATATATATATTTCTTTAGACCACGTGTATCGATCTCACAACGCATGCACTATTTAAGTTAGAAGTATGGTTCGAAAGTGAGAGTTTAAGGACTTAACTCTCAGATCCCTGTCGACGTGGCTATGTCCTTAGGAACTCTTATTTTTTACACTTACAGTTCATTTTTTATGCTCTTCACATTTAATAATAAATTCTCTTTTGAGATCATGTTACTCCACATTTGGTCATAGATAAAGATAATTATAATCTCACTTAATTAGCCACAATTAAATCTAGTCTTTTCCTTTCAAGTAAATATATAATTTAATTTAAATATTATGATTTTGGTAGGATGATACAAGTCTGGATATACAAGTTCTCCTCTTCAAAAAAAAAAAAAAAAAACTGATTTAATATACTAACTGTCTAATTCGACTCTATTTCATTTGAAAATTAATGCAATGAGCGTCAGAAGGTAAGAAGTTTTAGTACTCTTGATATTTGCTCTTCACAGTCCAGTATCAATCGTTATAGTACATAAATATTGCACTTCACAGTCCAGTACTCCTGATCAAGTGGTCCACACACACACACACACACACACACATATATATTTAAGCATATCACTCAAAAAACATAAAAGTCCCCCCACATGAATTGGTGATGCATATATAATGTCTTCCTGGTCCATAGGTTACATATGTACGCTTGGTGATGCACTAAATCCTCATACTCCAAGGTCACGCATGCATATATCTAACCATGTAAACCAAAAAATGTACCCACATGATTTGGTGATGCACTAGGTCCTCATTTATAATGTCTTCATGGTCCATAGGCCACACATGTACATGACTACACACCTTTTTGTAGCATTATTTTACAAACAACTATTGTAACATCACTTGATGGATAATTTATTAATAAAAATCTTTATATGAAAGAGGATAAAAATATGTTTAGGTTAGGTTTATTATACAGTTTGTATATGTTGGTTATTAAATTTTTCTGAGGCTTGGATTTTTTGTTTATAGATTAAAAATTCAGCAAAATTATTTTGAATGGTCGACCTGAACTGAGTCAGACCAAATAGCATCACTATTGTGATTTTTTTTTTCTTGACTAGAAATTCACGCACCCATTTGCTTATATAAGAACTTGAACCCCTCACCATCCACTTTAGAAGATAGAGAAGATACCACTAGGTTACGACGCTCTTGATCATTCTTGTGATTTTTGTCAAATCTCGCAAGTGGTTGACCACAATTTTGGTCAATATTTGATCTATAAATGAAAATTTCTAATTTCAGAAGAGATCAATATAATTGTAGTATAAGATGCATAATTATATAAAATTAAATACTAATAAAAAAAATTGTATAATGGGGATGCAGGAAGATAGCCTTTCCCATTCCTTCCCACATTTGAGATTGGATATTTCCTCTCTTCCCTACCCATGTTGTCATTAAACTCTCCCAAATCATACGTTGCATCCGCTGCAAAAATAAAGTAACTTGCACCTATATCTATGTCGGTCATTTATACAATCATGAGTAATGTTATTATAAGATCTACCCATGACTTTTATCAGGAAAGAGGATTGTATGAAAATTATATAGTCAAAATTTTGTACCAAGTAGATCATACAAATCAATCAAAGTTTTACACAGCTGTGTCTTGTGACCAAATTACAATATTAACTTTGATTATTTAGTCTGATTTCATTTTATCATATTTTTAACTTTTTCTTTTCTTAAAAAAAAAAAAAAAAAAAAAAAAATTGTAAAATTGCTTTAAAATTAGTAAGATATAATTTGTGCATAATTTTTTTAATCCAAAGTACATGATAATTTAAAGAAGTGCTCGTTACTTCTCACCTTACACCTATTTAGGACATAAATAAAGTAACCTGCACCAAAAATGATACTTGCACCTATATTATTTATTTATGTCTACGTATCATTTATGAAAAGATTGACATAAATAAATATCTTGTACCTATACCCCTCCTCTTTTAGGTCTCATCTGTAAAAACAAAAAAGGGACACGCCTACCCAACTGATTCAGAGACGTTTTCTCTTCTTGTTGAGAAATTTTTACATGTAATGATTTCTCTTCATGTAATAATGTACCACTCTTGTACATTAGGTGGTTCGTAGTTTTATATATATGTGGTTCATCTCAAGTTAAGTTTTATTCTTCAATCTAAAGATAGTGACCGAGCATATATGTATCGCCATTTCATTCTAGTTTTCTTCTTCAATTAAACATTAGGCTTGTTTGGTTAGATGAAATTAAGTAAGAAAAAAATATATGAAAAGAAAAGTAAAGTGAATAAAAAGAAAAGTAAAGTAATTTTCTAGTATGCATTTAGTTAGCCTTACAATTTATTCAAGAAAATTGTAAAAAAAAAAAATATTAGATTGTTAATTTGGATAGCATGAAAATGAAAAGAAAGTAATTGTACATATCAATACTACCCTTATGATTTCAAATACTGAAAAAAATAAATGAATTTGTGTTTGATGATATCCATTTTTAATAAAGAAATAGTCAAATAATGAATTATGAAATTTAATAATATAATTGCTTAATATTTATTTCTATTGTTTATATTTAAAATAAGACTTCATAATATTTTCTTAGGTTGAACTAATTATTAATTTAAGAGAAACAAAACTTATGCGAGAAACTAAATTTTCTAATAGGTTTGTCTTTCCTTCAATCCTTCTATCTAAACTAAAATAAAATAAAAAAGAAAAAAAAAAAAAAAAAAAAAAAAAAAAAAAAAGTTAATAAAAATTTTCTGTTTCCTTTCTTTTCTAGTTGATTCCATGTAATCAAACTAAGCCTTAAATCCTAAAAAAAATTAAAATGGATTATATCAATGACAAAGCACACCTAGAATCAAGAACCATCGTCATATTATTCACAACTTATTTGTATTCATAGAAATTTCTCTCATTACAGTGACACTGGGATCATCCTATTTTGTGTTCAATCAATTTCTTTGTAAATAAAACCAAGTCCAACCCATGATGGCTAATCAGCAGTTTTATCAGTTCATAACTATAGCGTTTAAGAAATCCTTTAGTGTTAAAATTACTTCTAACATTAATCTATTCTTAATTCGAATGAAATTAGCAACACTTTTATAACATGGGTTGGATACAATATTGTAGTGTACCTTTTCATGTAAAACTACATCACTTTCAGAACATGTATGCATCCATGAGTTATTCCAACAAAGCACCTCCATAAACAGTTACATAGAACTCAGAAAACACCATTTAAAAGCTTAACAAGTCGTAGCAGCAAATCCAGATCAGAGAAACCGTTTAAGAAAATCTTTAATCTCTTCAATATATGGAGATCGGGTGGGGATTATATGACCCGAGTCATGTTCAATAATCACCGAGCAACCCTCTTCAAATAGAGTAGCAAGGTCTCTGCTGGCTTGGCTACCTATCTGCCTGTCTTTTCCATGGTCATTGCCAAATATATGAAGAGAAGGGCAGTTGATGGACCCTTGATCATCCTCTGCTAAATTAAGAGCAAATCCGGAGCATAAGATCGCGAACCTAAAATCCATTTCACCCTTTAGCCTTCCTAGTGCGCATACTGAAGCAGCCATTGCTGCTCCTTGTGAAAATCCCAATATCCCATCAAATGGCCCTGCCTGAGAAAATACGGTCTTCAAATATGCTAGTGATACCTCAAACCCGTCAGTTTGCTGCTGGTACTGCAGAGAATCAAATGGACTATCTGCCATCTTCCAATCAGTGTCACTTTTCCCATTGAAATTAGGTGCGACTAGCCACGCAAACTTCTTACTGCAACTCTTAGATGGTGGAGGAGGACTTTGTTGCAATGCAGATGATGCACAATGGTTGGGGTCTGCCAAACAAGGTTGGTAAATGAATGGTAACTCGTGAGGTGCATCAACAAAAACAAACTCGACGAGATTTTTTAGTTTCTTGGCTAATGATGCTGTTCTTCCTTTAAAACTGGAAGCATTCTGCCGAAACCCGTGCAAGCATAGGATCCGGAGTTTTCTTGAAGGCATGGTACCTGCAGTATTGCTTTTATTATGACATCATAAATGGGAAAAGAAGAGGAAGAATTTTTTTGATTAGTCATTAATTATAGAAATTAATTGTTGCATGGTATAATTTCTTTTTAAAAAGAAAATGCTGTAAACCTTAATGTATTCTTCTACATGTGGAAGCCAACAAATTTGAAATGACGCGGACTACAGACCTTACCATGCCGTGGTGAGTGTGTAGTATGGTCCGAGGTGGAAACACCTTCAAGCTCAATTGAAGTTGATATTTCTTCTGATTGTTCATTTCTAATTGATGGAATCGACCCAACATGCTTACCCATATTTTGACATAGCTCGCAGACATATAACGAATCTTTCCCCTACCAAACCACAATAAAGATATTCAGAAACAAAAATCTTGAAATACAGAGAACTACAATACCAACTGAAGGCAATTGGCAACCTAACTAATCAAAGACTTAATCTCAACTACTTGGAGTTGGCTAATTTAAATAGGAAAAATATCATTCATAGCATGGCTGGAAAAAACTTCATCCGTAATCTCATTCCTAAAGAAACATGTGCAGAAGTCAAACCTTCCACCGCCATTCGTATTCAAATTCTTTCTTAGCCTTTCAGTGAACCTGACTGAAGTAAGGTGGTTGACTCTAAAACAATCCTTCCTTGCCCCAGGCTAAGGAAATGTGTAAAAAGGTAAGGCCCTAAAACAGGGAACAAAATGAAAAAAAAAAAAAAAAAAATTTAAAATACGGATAGCATCACATTTTACTAGCTGTAGATAGGTATTGTTTGAATAAAGCCAAAACACTCCTGCAGAGTTGTTCGCTGCATGATCCCATAGGTGGCACAAGTATGGAAAGGATAAGCCAGAGGAACAAGCTGTAAAATCATTCAAAATTATTTCGCATGGTTTCAAGCATGTTCAGCGTGGGTAGGTTTCCATATAGATATAGAAGTGTACAAGTATCTAGACCCATGTCATACGTGTCAACACGGTACTGTTGCTGAAGCAAAGTGCCCAAGTATTTTAGATTGAACTGTCACCTGTATAACTCACAGGTTGGCAGAAGGGAAAAAAAAGAGAGAAAAAAATTAATGCATCCACCACTGGGTCCTTGGTGTGGGTGGCATGATCTCCACCTCCCCAAAGTGAGGTTGAGGGCTCAAGCCCCAAATGAGGCAAAATGGGTATCTGCGTTGCCTACTTGCCGAAGAACAAAAAAAAAAAAAGAAGAGGAAGAAGAGAAGTTACTGCATCCACATGCTGTTTGCATGAGCTTTGACAAAAGGAACTACTAATGTTTATGTCAGCAAAAAGGTACTAAACATGCATTCATAAAACCCCCCCCCCAAAAAAAAAAAAAAAAAAAAAAAAAAAAAAAAAAAAAAAAAAAAACCATGTATTAAGGTGTTACACATTTAATCAAAGGTTGTAGCCTAATGGTATCTCCTCTACCTCCCAAAGTGGAAGGTGAGGATTCAAGTCCCCATAGGTGAAATTGGGTGCGAGTTTCTTGCCAAGAAAAGGGAAAAATGTGTAAGACATAACAAACTTCCAAACATATAAAATATTCCGAATGTAAAGGCTGTGAAATAATTCAATGGAAAGATAAAATAGGTAACTAACATAAGATAAAAAGATTAAAATGGGCTCTCACTCACTATGCATCTAACAGTAAAAGTACTATCATTACTGCATACCTGGCAACTATCACAGATTAAAACAAGCATTCTACAGTGCGTACATCGGCTGCGTGAAGAGTAGTCATCAAATGAAGAGTTACAGAGAAGGCAGGTACCCAAGATTTTTGCCTCTGAACTACCAACTGAAACCCTGCAGCCAGAATACAGATTGTTAGAATCACCACTTCCGAAAGAAATAAAATCATCCGTGTCACTTTTGCCAGCTTTATTCATACCTCACTTTTTACAAAATTATTTATGTCAACTTTGCCATTCTTATAACTCACTTTTACTTCTAGAGTATTGCATTAATCACCAAGGAAGTCGGCTGAATTCACAAAGCTTTTGTGCACCATAGAATTGGGGTACAATTTGACAAACGCAAGAGTAAAAATTTCTGAATGACGCACCAAAAATCTCCTGGTGGATAATATATACTACTTTCAATAGATCTAAACTAAATTGTTTTAGAGACTCCAAGAGGTGTCTATCATGTCTAACAAGAGGGTGAGGAAGTTTCAGCAACCTTTAGTTACATTGTAATAACAAATAATTTTTTGGGTGGAATGAAGAGAGAGGAAATCAAAGTTCATATGGGGGGAGAGAGAGAACAGAGACAGCAATTAAAAAAGATCTAGTCACTTTAGAGTTGTTAATTTTTGGGGGGGTTTCGGCACATTTGATAAGCATGTCATAAAATATGCAATTTCTACATCATCATTAACGCAATCAAAGGCAGATGTTTGTATCTGTTGAGATGAGTGGGGGGTAGAGGGGCCTAGAAACCACACCGACAGTCCAAAACAAAAAGTTTTGTACAGGGACATAGAAACCATACCGATGGTCAAAAACAAAATTCTTTCCTTTGAAGAAGCCACCATCTGAAAATTGTTCCAAATAACGCTGAATTCCACCATATAACTGTAACAAAGTCAATGTTACTAATTGATATTATCAGAATTATTTAAGAGAATGCTTAAAACTTGAGGCAAATTATCAAGGTAAATATAATGAGATTATTCCGTAATATGTAGACAAATAATAGGAAATAGAGACTTAATTTTGTAATTGGTATCATCTCTTGTTCCTGGTAAATGTCTCCCAATTAGAAACTCTTCTTGTAACATGACAATATGAAAACAAAATGATAGGATGCCCATATGGATGACATCAGCTGTAGCTTGAATTTTGATGAGTACTTAAGCGATTAGAGTTTTATCTTGGTAAAACTGATAGCATAACAACTCTAAGTTGATTTCATGTAAGTTTAGCATAGCTTTGAAATCATATCATAAACTAATGAGGCCCACACATGTAGAAAAATAGAAAAAACAGAAATCGAAAATCGATTTTTCTCAAAGGAACTCACCTGAAATACCTTCTCAAAACCAGCACCTTTAGACCTAATATAGGCTGATGCCATCTCACACCTAATTCCTCCGGTACAGTACCTGTAACATAAACCAGCAAATGCAGAATAAGAACCAACATGAAGCATGCACTGCAAAATTAGCAAATAAATTCAACTAATATATGTTTTTTCGCGATTGATCCATTTTTAGCTTAGATAGATTTCATATTAATACTTATACTTTATGTAAATAGTGTTACAAAGAAATTATCTTAGCTCTCCCATTGCCAGTACCCCAGGCCGGATGCAAAAAGAGGTGGGTTGGTGTCAGGGAGAACTGACCGTAAAATTAATGTCAAATCTATATGATGAATTCTCTTTCCATCATATTAAACAAATAAAAATAATTAAAAAACAGAAAATTAGAATAGGGACATGGAACATAGGAACATTAACGGGTAAGTGTAGTGAACTCATGGACACACTTAAAAGGAGAAAAATTAATATAGCATGCCTACAAAAAACTAAATGGAAAGGGAAAAAGGCGAGAGAGAATGAGGAATGATACAAACTCTTTTATTCAGGTGGCAAAGATAATCATAGAAATGGGGTAGGTATAGTAGTAGACCGACATCTGAGAAAAAGTTGTAGAAGTTAAACGAAAAGGAGATAGACTTATAACTATTAAACTAGTGTTATGAGCCATAGGGAGCACTAGATGAAAATACAAAAAAGACATTTTGAGAATCTTTAGATGAAATAATACCTAATATACCAAGCCATGAAAGTATATTCATAGGAGGCGACTTTAATGGTCACGTAGGGGAAAAGAATACAGGATATGAACGAGTCCATGGGGGGAGGAGCTTTGGAGAAACAAATGAAAACGGAGAAAGTTTGTACAATAATCCCGGGGAGAAAGTTTAACAAACCAACATCGACTACTAGTATTAGATTTGTTGGTCAAAGAATCGAAGAGTCAAAAAATAATGAAAGGGCATCAACACATAAAATGGAAAGATTGGAAGGTTATAAAGGGATAACATTTAGAAAAAATTTAATACATAGCTTGTGGCCAAACATGGCAGGTTGTATTAGGAATGTGGCAAAAGAAACTTTAGAAGAAACTAAGGGAAAGAAATTTATAACAAAAGAAATATGGTGATGGAATGATGAATTTCAGCTAGCAATAAAAAATAAAAGAATGAGGTTTAAAGAATGGCTAAAATGAAAGGAACAAGAGGATTTAGAAAAATACAAACAATTTAAATATGAAGCTAAAAAGATGGTAGCCGAAGCTAAACACAATGCATTAAATAACTTATATGAGAAATTAAGAACAAAAGATGGTGAAATGGATATTTACATATTGGAAAAAAATAGAGAAAAAGGACATAGATCAAGTTAGGTGCGTTAAGGGTATAGAACAAACAATACTAGTTAAAAATAAAAATATATTAGAAAGATGAAAAAACTACTTCAACAATTACTAAATGAGGAATATACTAGGGAAGAAATCGTAAGTAACGAACCATACATAGAAATGGTAAATGAAATTCATAAGAAGATAGTAGAGGACACACTTAAGAAAATGGGTAATAATAAAGCTGTAGGACCAGATAACACACTGACAGAGGCATGGAGAATTTTAAGAAAGACAGGCTTTGAATGGTTAACAAAGTTGTTTAACAAAATTCTTAAGAGAAGAGAGGTTGCCAAAATGAGTGGAGGAATAGCACAATAGTACCACTTATAAAAATAAATGAGATATACAAAATTGTGAAAATTATAGAGGAATTAAATTATTGAGTCATACAATGAAATTATGGGAAAAGACAATTGAGCAACGATTAAGGAAAAAAACATCAATATCTGATAACCAGTTTGCATTTATGCTAGGTAGATCTACTATGGAATCTATATACTTAATTAGACAACTAATAGGGGAATATCGAAGTAAACAGAAAGACTTACATATGGTTTTCATAGATTCAGAAAAACCATATGATAGAGTGCCAAAGGACATAATTTGGTGGGCTCTATAAAGAAAACAAGTACCTATAAAGCTTACAACTTTTATTCAAAATATTCATTGCGAGACATTGACTAAAGTTCAGATTACATTCGGAAAAAGTTAAAAACTAGTTAATTTTCTATAAAAGTGGGACTACACCAAGGATCGGTGTTAAGTCCATACCTATCACCATATTTCTTAACCTAACAAATTAGTAGAACTAAAACAGAATATATGGAATGTAAATGTGATAAACTAATAAATTATGACAATATAAATATTAAAATTGAGGATCAAAGAATTACTCAAATTATTTAATTTCGTTACCTAGGATCAATTCTACAAAAAGATGGGGAGATAGATGGTGATGTATTGAGTAGAATTGGAGCGGAGCGGACAAAATGGAGGCAAGCTAGTGGTACACTTTGCGACAAAAGAATTCCAAATAAATTAGAAGAAAATTCAATAGAACGGTTATTACACAAACTCTACTGTACGGATTGGAGTGTGGGGCATTGAAAAAGACACAAGAACAACGCATCCATGTTGCAGAAATGAGGATGCTACGATGGATGATAGGAATGACTATAAAAGATAAGATTAAAAATGAACGTGTGAGGAGAACACTAGGTATAGCGCTTATAAATGATAAAATTAGAGAAAGTAAACTTAAGTGATGTGGTCATATTCATCATAGGCCCGATGATGCACCAGTTCAAAGAGGAAGGGTTGTTTGCCTAGAAGGTAAGCCACAAAGAAGCTGACCAAAACTTACATGGGACAAAGTAATTAAAATGGTTTTGAAATTTTAAATCTAAGAGAAAGTATGGTATAAATTAGGAAAGAATGAAAAAAGAGAATTCATGTCGCCGACCCCATCCATATGGAATAAAAGCAAGGATGATGATGATATGTTGTTTCGCGATTGAGCACTATATAACTACTAGTGGAAAAAAAGGAAGAGCAATAGAAGTGCATGAAAAAAGGATACTTCTCTTTGGAAGGGCCTGTGTTGAGCACTGAGGGCAAATAATAAAACTACATTTTTAGAAATTCCAAGCAACTATAAAAATAAAAATAAAAAAACAACTAAAGAAGATGAATTTCTTGTAACGCATTAATGACATACAGAAAAACATTCACAAAATACTGAACCATCCTTGTAACAAATTCCAACTCATGGGTTCCATAAAACTGATCCACTGAAAGATTTACAAGCTTGGCACTTGAAACAACTAAAAGAAACAAGTGTCATAAGACTCACAACTTCAGTGTACGCAAAATGAAAATCTTATGCATATGCCAAAAACAATCTGAAAGCAATGCATATACTTTAGTCCACTAGAACATGACCGCACATTTCAGGAAATAATAGTCTAACAGCCTTATCACAAGAGTTCCATCAACACAAGCCTGTAATACAAGCTTAATCACAGGTGTGCATGGTGGAACAGAAGAAAAATAGAAAGGAGATACACATGCTGATCACAAATAAAGACTTATTATTTGCAACCATATGAAACAAACACAAGCAGTGGTTATATACCATTTCCCACTAAAGATGATGTTTCTCCAGCATCATAGCATGTAAGATAAACAACATTAAGTACCAGGAGAACTTCAATATAGAATACTATAAAGGAAACCTTACATAAGAACACAATTCCCTCGCAATTGCTCCGAGTTATCATCTATCCAAGAAGGGAGATCACTATACTGCCGGATTCCTGGATCCAGTGTTTCCACGTTTGGAGCATTGAACTTTCCAATTCTTGTCTCATATAAATTCCTTGCATCCAACAGAACGAGTCTTTTATGGTAATTTGAACTCTCTCTTTCTAGAAATTGTCCTGGGAAACATATTGAGAATTAGCAGTAGCACACACAATACTGATTTCTAATCATATTTTCTTCTCAAGAGCAAATGTCCAAAAACCAGAAAGAACTAATTGTAATAAAATTCTAAAATAATGTTTTTTTCAATCGCACCAAGCAAAGGTTCCTAAAGATAATGATAGCATGACATGAAATCAGAATGAAAAAAGTCAAAACAAGTAAAATCCAGATTCTTTTAACACACAGAAGGCTTATGCAGAGTATACACAAAAAATGAGTAATAAAGAGCTTTAGAAGGCAAAAGGATCCCTTACCAGCATTCTGAAGAACAGAATGGAATTCAACTGCAGAAAGATGCTGCCCAGCATTTGATATTTCTGGCGCTTTTAACAGAGGATGAGAACTAAAAGTAACCAATTCCTGAACAGAATATGAAAGGTACCGTATTAATATATTCAGAAAGGTGACACCAGAATACAGTTACTTTGTAGAAGCCAACTAATCAAGATGAGTGATAAGGAAATATACTATAGATCTCAGTAAAGAAGCCAAATTTAGCATCATCATACCAGTAATTTAGGTTATCATGGAGGCAATCCCTCACCATGAGCATATCCTATTAGCTGTTTGATTGAGAGAAGCCTCTTGATTCAATGGCTGACAGAGTCAACTCGCGGTGAGAGTGGCTTCACAATAGACTTACTCTAAAACAAAAAGTACAAGTAAAACATGACACAAGCCGAAAACAAGTATGTGTAACTACATCATACTAACGTAAATCTTTCCTAGACGGCACTCTGTATATACAAGTTCATACTTTCAAATGTAATGTTCCAAGGCATTTTTGTTCAATTACAAGTTTTTGGATCATAACAGGGAACAACATATTCACATTATTTGACCAGAAGCCTAATGCATGAACAGACAGTGGTCTGAATTTCTCATCAGGATCTATCAAAATTTAACTCAAATAATTATCTAATATAGGCGAAATGCACATGCTGCATTGCGGCCTCCAATTAAGAACTACATTTTCTTATTAAATTCAATAGCATATCTAATATTCATCAAAGTCTAAGAACTGCAATCATCCTAAAACCGCCGAGACAAACCCTGCTTGAACTTTGACAGTACACTTATAATTCAAACTTTAAATGTATCATATCGCAAGCCATGGAACTGAAATTTATCAGGAATTTGTTTAATTATTAGGAAAATGGAGTAAACCTTGACGATTCGGATTGAGAGAGAAGTAAATCCACATTCTTCTGCAACCCTGTCGTTCAATGGCTGATCGCAAGATGCCAGCTTGAAGTCCGTTCCTTCAAATAAAGTATTCGACTTGACTGCATCAATGTGTTTCTCCAAAGACGATAATTTCCCACCAACCTAATCGAAAATCAACAAATTCCAAAGAATAAGTTCCAATAATCACGCTACACATATACACCGCAACAACATTACGACCTAATTGAGATAATAAGAATTTATATTCAATTATTTTGAAACTCACAATCCGAAGAACAACATTTCTGGTCCACTGCTCGTACAAATGAGATGTGTATATGTACGTATATGTGTGTTTGTGTGTGTATATGATGATGATGAGCTTACAGTAACGTTGACGCCATGGGGAGCGAGACGGACACGGCCGAGAAGGGCAAGTGAGTTGCAGTTGGAATTGTAGAAGCTGAAGAGTTGTTGGAGGTCAGGAATAGGAGTGTATTTGTAGTACAACAATACGCCGTATTCTTTCTCTCGTTCGATGTTATTATCTGTCATAGCTAACAACTTCAGTGCAACTTCAAGATTCTGTTTTCATGGAGAATGGGGGCAAAAAAAACCCTACTCTGGTTGGGGAAGGGGACTAGGATTCTCTACAGTTTCATTGCAACCGGTTCTTGTATTGGCTCCAATGACAGTGGATTGTCAGGGGCTTATTAGTCAAATACGATTATAAGCACCACAAAATCGAGAATATATTGGGTGTGCTCCGTGCATCATGTACTGACCCATTAAAGTCATCTATTTCGTGTGTGTTGTGCACGGACGACTCTAATGTGTCCAGTACATGATGCACCGGACACACCGAATACCTTCTTTAAGCACAAGGTTTTGACTCAACCCTCACCTAAAAAATTATATGTCAATGTCGTTGGAGACCGAAAATCCCTTTTTTAAATCGTCTCATAAATATTTTTTTTATTTTTCAAACTATGTTCGGAGTCCCGATATATATTTTTTAAATAAAAATAATTCAAATTTGAACAGATTTATAAATTTTGTAATTTTTTTTATTATTGCCAAAATATTTAACAATAATAATAACAAGAATGTTGTTAAAATTATTATAAGAAATAATAAAAAAAAAATGTTGTTAAAATTATTATAAGAAATAATTATTAATGAAAAGAATATTTATTTATATCATAATTATTAATTGAAAGTTTTAAGCTCTCTTCCCAAACTCATTCCGGACCCTATTTGAATGATCTCAAATCTGTTCCAATAGTACGAGACGGGATGGTTTAAATAAGTTTAGGTGAGGGTTGAGCCCAAAATGTCATGCAACTCGACTCCCACAAAGGCTTTTTAATACACTTCTCGTGTGGGTCCCAACCCATGCCCATGTGAATTGTCGAGGATGCAAATTGGCCTGACACTAATATTAACTATAGAAAATTGAATGCTTATTCATTCATCTAAAAACTTGAGTAAATTGTATACTTATTCATTCATCTAGAAACTTGAGTTGTTGAGTAATGTTACATGCCTGCCCATATATACGCTATTCATTTTAAATCCGGAGTATGGATGGGTCCTTGGAATCTTGTCTATAGATATCTAATATGGCCACTAATCTCCATCCTTCTCACACTTTTGGGAATTTATTTGTTTAGATAGAAAGTCATTGAGAGTAAACTTCAAGGAAATAGGTTCCTTTTTCAACCTTTCAGTTATTTGAAAATAAGAAGAAAAAAATTGTGAAAGTTATTTACAATGTTTTAACTTACAATTCTGCCATTTCTTTTTATCACTTGAAAATAAAATAAAACAGGTTTGCGCATAATTTTTAATATTTTGTATAATTATTCATGCTTTTAAACATCCTAGAAAAATTATTAATATCACGTTACTTTTAATTTTTTTTCTAACAAAAAAAAAAAAGAAGACCATACAAATACTTATTTAAGGCACCAGTTAGACTTGTTATTTGGTTTACTATATATAATGAACAATAATATTTTCTTGTAACTTCTATTAAAATTATTAAAAAGAATTCTACTATAATTTTCTTATAAATTTTAGTTTTAACCCAACACAATGTGAAAAAGTCTTCTTTCTTTTTTTCCTTTTTCTTTCAGTTCGTTTTAACAGTCGCACCATACATACATACATAGGTAGAAAATTATTTGTATGTATATGCAAATGACGTTAGATACACAACACCACATCTAACACACACACCCATAGTCACATAAGGATTCTGTGTCTCCACTATGGATGGAGATTGGACCATCAGTGAAACCTACCATGATGATGATTCATTCTCATCACCTAATGATTTAATCTACACTATTGATGGAGTACAAAACAGCACCAATCACATAATACAGAATATATATATACCCTTATAGCTTGCATAGACAATTATATTGAACCATATAATACTTGCACTCATTCACATTTTGCTAATCAATAGCACAGACACCCATATGCATTATAATATATATATATATATATATATATATATATCATTTTACCCTTTCAAAATACTGTAATTCTCTGAGAGTAAAAAATTGCATCAAACTGCTTGATTGCTTTTTTCTTTCTCACATAATTGACATTGTTCAAACTTCAAACTCAAAAAGGGGGGACAAATTTATTACATGATTACCAAGTAAGATCCTGATTTCGAATAAATCTTGGAACAAATCCATAGAAAATTTTCTTTCATAGTAGAGATTATACAAATGACACGAAAACCACAAAGTTAAAGCCTTACACTCCTAATAAAATTCAATAGACAAATTTAGCCCATTTGCCAGACCAAAAACCCTGACCCCTGGCGATAAACGATGAAATTAACAAGTCTAAAAATTCATTCCAATAAGAACTAAAAAACCAGAAAACAAGACCACTACTACCCAAATTTGAAACCACCAGCAGGTAGGTTGGGCTGGCTATTTCCAAAATTAAAACCCTGCTGATTACCATCTACACCAGCTTGAATATTTTGCTCTTCCTCATCCTCCTCAGCCCAGTATCTCTCTAAGATCTTCACAGCCTTCTCATAAATTTCATTGTTGTCGTGGGTTTGAAGATTCTCAATCTTGTCCAATCCATCACATTCATCAATCATTTGTGCATATATGTTGATCCCACCATTCATACCCACTTCTTTGTCAGCCTCGCCCACCTTCAGAATGTTCTCAAGCCCCTCGAGGCATACTGTAACAATCCTTGGGTCTGGACAGATCAGAAGATCACAAAGTGGCTTAATGCAACCTTGGCTCGCCAAGAATCTGCAAAGCATATATGGTGTGTGTGTGAGAGCAAGCCCTGGTCCAGTGCATTCTTTTTGCAAATATTGGACTCTATATAGTATATTTAATAAAAAAAAAGTATATTTAATGAAGTATAAAGGTAAAACACTGGTTTATTAAGGGTTAGAGGCAGGACCCATAGAACATGATTCTATCAGCACCACACAAAACGGATCACAGAATTAGAAAAAGAGTTTTGCAATTGCCATTATCAGCAATAAATACCATTATCGCTGCCAACATGTTGTGTTTAAAAGTTAATAATGGGTGGCTTATGTTATGACCAGAAGAGTAGTAATTGATATTTGTTAAAATATCTTTATTATTATTATTATTATTTTATTAGCTGTTTTCAGCCTTTTATTAGGTGTTTTATGTAAGATCTATTATCATGGGATCACGTAAATTTTGGCATATTTTTTGTTTTTCTTTGATTTGGTTTCCTTTCTTTGTACCCTATTCTTGTATATAAATATAGTTCTTAGCTCTTGGTTTGAGTAAGCCAAACCCAAAACAACTTCTTTTTGGTATCAGAACAAAAAAACAAAAAACATTCGCCTCATCATCTTCCTTCCCCAACGCCGCCACCTTTTCTCTACCTCTCTCCTCTTTCCCTCACCTCCGGCGCACCTCCATCTCCCCTCCCAACCCTTGCGCCGGACCCCTCTCTCTCTCTGTTTTCGACTCCTTTTTTAGAAGAATTCCCTTGGGCTTTTTATGACCTAAGGGTTCTTCTGGGCTTTTTTTTTTTTTTTTTTTCCCCTTTGTGGGCTACCGGTGTTTGTTCGGCAGCATATTTGGAGAAAAGCGTCATTTTTCCTGCCTTGTTTTTCTCTTTCCTCCCTCTTTGACGTGTGGACCAGCCTTATTTTGGTATTATGAGTGATTCTAGTAGCCAAAAGAACACTTAATCTTCAACACAGCATACTCCGGCGCAACGGGTTACTAGTGTGCTCTTAAATGGCTGCAACTTCGTATCTTGGTCGTGTTCTCTTCACCTCTATATTGGAGGGAAAGGGAAAATTGGTTAGCTTTTGGGTCTAATAAAGGAACTGGAAAAGATGGATACTAAATATATTGCATGGGACATGGACAGATGCACCATTCTGGGTTGCATCTTCAACTCAATGGAGGAGCGTATCTATAATATGTTCATGTTTCACACTTCCGTTTTTCGTCATTTGCAAGATGTAAGCCCACTTCCGCAATGACGCTCATATCTTTGAACTTTATCAGCAGATTGCCCATGCATCTCAGGAAACACTCAATCTGTCAGTATCAGAGTATTTTGGGTACCTCCAGTCTAGGGGGGAAGAATTAGCACAGTATGAACCTCTCTCCGATTTCTCTAAAGCTGCTGCAACTCTTTTGGTCAAGAGACTGGACCGCCAGCATACATGCCGGTTTTTTATGGGTTTACGATATGAGAGTGATGCTCTTAGCACTCAGATCATAAACACCTCTCCTATGCCTGATTTATATGATGCTTTCACTGCTGTTGACCATGAGGAGCATAGACGTTAGATCTCTCAGCCAATAGCTTTACCAAAGACTCCAATTGATCAGATGGCTCTTGCTGCTAATTCTAGAATTTCAGAGGGAAATGTTATTTGTTAACATTGTGGAGCCACGGATCATGTAAAGGATTGTTACTTTAAGCTTCATCCCGAGCTAACCCAGAAATTTTCTTGCAATCGTCCTTCTAGTTGTGGCTGCAATAGCCAATACTATTGGTAGGTATACTACTCCACAGATTGTTGTCCCTCCTGCTTCAACTCCTCCCAGACCATCTTTTTAGGACTTTAATCAGTTACAGTCCCAGATTGGTCAGCTTCAGGAGCAGTTCGGAGCTTTATCTACCAGAGGTGGCTCTTCAAACCCACGGCCACTATAGCTACAGGTACTCTTTCTGCTTCTCATGTTAAAGCAGAAAAACCTACTTGGGTTCTGGATTTCGGAGCCAATGTTCCTATTCCTGTTACCCCTGTTAATTAGGTTGTTAGTCTAGCCGATGGGTCAACCACCATTATTCGTAGTAAAGGAAATATTCATCTATCCCCTGATATTATTTTGCCATATGTTCTTTATGTTCTTAACTTTACATTTAATCTTCTATCTGTTAGCAAACTTTGCCAAATCACTAAACTATGCAGTGATTTTCTTTCCTCATTACTTTAAAACACCTGTGTACAAAAAAGATTTTTGGCAGGGGATATGAGCACGATGGCCTCTACTACTTTAGGGATCCTCCACCGACACCTTCAACACTTGCTTCAAGCCTCTGTTCTTTCCAGTTTCTAGGTCTAATGATTTTTCCTTTCAGACTTTAAATTTTATGGCATGCTCGCCTTGGGCATGTAAACTTTCAGTATTTATGTCTGCTTTTCCCTTCATTAATAACAGCTTGTAAGGATAATAAGTTCCAATATGAGATTTGGGAGTTTTCTAAACAAACTAGAACCAGTTATATTTCTCATATACATCATGCACCTAGTATGTTTGATCTCATACAATTTGATGTGCGGGGTCCTTCTCTTGTTACTGCTTTTTCGGGGCATCATTATTATGTAACATTCATTGATGATTATTCCTGTTGCACATAGGTATATTTACTTTTAAAAAATCTGAAGTTTTTCCCTGTTCACTCAGTTCCTCCAAATGATCAAAACTCAATACAAAACTGTTGTTAGGAATATTAGGTCTAACAATGGTCGTGAATATGTTTCTAATGAGTTTCGGTCTCAACTTAACCAACAGGGTATTCTTCATCAGCTTACTTGTCCATATACGTGGCAGAGCGTAAAAACCGCCAACTAATGTCAGTTGTTCGATGTCTTTTAAGTGGTATGAATGTGCCAAAGTCATACTGGCACATGGCGGTTCCTACAGCTACTTTTCTCATTAATCATACCCCTAGTAGAGTATTAAATGGTAAGGCCCCTTACAAGTGTTTTAGCCTAATATTACTCTTTTTTCCATCATGCCTCGGGTGTTTGGTTGTACATGTTTTGTTCAAAATTGTAGCCCTTCTCATACTAAACTTGATGACAAGGCCATTAAATGTATCTTTTTAGGATACTCTTCCATGTCAAAAGGTTACCGGTGTTATGATCCTGTACACAAACACATGTATCACCTTTCTTGATGTCACCTTTCATAAGCTTACCCCTTTTTATGGTTCTAACACTATCTTACAGGAAACTTCTAATCCCGGTCAAGAGGATTCTCCTCTTGCTCGTTATCTTCCTATTTTTCAAGAAGAGTCTTCTCTTGTGGTTTTCTCACCCCCTTTACAGGTCTATTCTCACCGCCCTCGTGCTCCGCCCTGACTGCCTTCATCCTCCTCAAATACAGGTTTAAGTACATCTCCTATCTCTCCTTTACATTTCCCTAACCCTGCTCATGAGTCTCGATATCCCACTCTAGACCGTAAACCCCTGCTCGATTTGCATTTGCTTGTAGTACTGATCATCATATTTCGTAGTACATCTCTTATGATGGTCTTTCAAGGTCTTACAGAACCTTTCTATGCAAACTTGATTCCATTTCCATTCCCAGAAATGTGTCTAAGGCTCTCCGGAATCCCAATTGGATGTTTGCTATGATGGTAGAAATGGATGCTTTGCAACAAAATGAAACATGGGAGCTTGTATCTCTCCCTTCAGATGAAAAGACTGTTGGTTGCAAAAGGGTATGCAGTGTTAAATATCAGTCAATGGCTCTATTGATCGATATAAGGCTCGTTTGGTGGCCAAAGGGTTTACTCAAATTCATGGTAAAGACTTTAATGATACCTTCGCTCCAGTGGCTAAATTGACCTCCGTTCGTTTGCTTATCTCCCTAGCTGCCTCTCACAATTGGCCTCTTCATCAGCTTGATGTGAAGAATGTTTTCCTTAACGGTGATCTTCTTAAGACTATTTACATGGATCCTCCACCCATTTTTCGGGCTGAGGGGGTGTATGCTAGAAAAGGTCTGTCAATTGCGGAAGTCTTTGTATGGGTTAAAACAATCTCCCAGAGCTTGGTTTAGCCGCTTCGGTGATGTAATTCTATCCATGGAGTTTGTTTGATGTCATTCTGACCATACATGTTTTATCCACCGTTCCTGACTGGTCGATGTATCATTCTTCTTGTCTATATTGATGATATCATCATTACAGGCAATGACATCCCTGGGATTGGTTAAGTAAAGCTTCAATTGGCTAAAGTTTTTTTATGTGAAAGACCTTGGGCAGCTCAGATATTTCTTAGGAATTGAGGTTGCTAGATCTAAGCAGGGTATCTCTTATCGCAAAGGAAGTATGTCTTGGATCTTCTTCGAGACCCGAGTATGTTTGGGTGTAAACCTACTTACACTCCTATGAATCCTAATCTGAAGATCTCGGTTGAGTCTGGAGATGTCCTCTTTGATCCCTCACAGTATCAGCGCTTGGTGGGAAGATTGATTTATCTTACCAACACCCGTCCTGATTTGGCTTTTGCAGTTATTGTTGTGAGCTAGTTTATGCATGCTCTTCGTACAGCTCATATGAATGTGGTATATCATATTCTTCGATATCTTAAGTCTTGTCCTGGACTTGGATTATTTTATTCTTCTAGCCGGCAGGTTGGGCTATCATATTTCAATGATGCAAACTATGTTGGGTCCAAGACTGACAAACGTTCCATATCTGGCTTCTGTACTTTTTATCAAGACCATCTTATATCCTGGAAAACTAAGAAGCAACTTGTAGTTTCGAGATCTCCAACACAGGCTGAGTATGCTGACATGGCCCAGGGTACTTGTGAGATTCTCTGGCTTCGATCTTTCTTGGAGGAGCTAGAGCTAAGTGAAAAATAGTCCTCAAACTTCTTTTGTGATAATAAGTCAGCCATCATGCTTGCTCCAAATTCTGTTCTTCATGAGAGGACTAAACATATAGAGGTGGACATTCATTTTATCAGAGAGAAGGTTCATTCGGGAATTATCAAGCCGTGCTTTGTTTAGTCCTCTAATCAATTGGCAAATGTGTTCACCAAATCCGTTGGTCCATCTTTGCTTCATTCCTTGATTACCAAGTTGGGCTTGATTAATATCTTCAGTCCAGCTTGAGGGGGAGTGTGGAAATATCTTTATTATTATTATTATTATTATTTTAATAGCTATTTTAAGCCTTTTCTTAGATGTTTTATCCAAGATCCCTATTATCATGGATCACGTAAATAAGATTCTCGTAATCATGGGATCATGTAGATAAGATTCCCACAATCATGGAATCAGGTAGATTTTGGCATATTTCCTGTTTTTCTTTGATTTGGTTTCATTTCTTTGTACCATATTCTTGTGTATAATATAGCTCTTGACTCTTGGTTTGAGTAAGCCAAATCCAAAACTTCTTCTTTTATATTGACCATGATTCAATGAAGTAACGGTCCAGTCTCGACCGAAAAAAAATAGAGAGAAGAAAAAGTGAGAAAAAAAAAAAATGTATGGGCACTAGAAGAACCGCATGGCAGGAAATAGTCTTGCATGGTCCCAAGTAAATGAGATTTCGGGAACTACTGAATTGCTACAGAGTAACCTGGCTTTAATTGTTGTGAAACTAAAAAAAGTGAAAGTAACAAAGATGTAAGTGGTTTATCAAAGCCAGGGAGTTTAGGTCTGCCTAAAAACACACAATACAGAATGGAGAAGAAACAACACAAACTATATATCGACTTTAGGTCTGCCCATAAACACAATAACTTTGTAGCTACAAAATGACTATACACAAAACGGAGAAGAAACGCACCGGATCTGCTCATGGGATCCTCCAGATGTGGCATTTGAGATAGCCCATGCAGCCTCCTTCTTGATGTCAAATTCTGCATGTTGAAGTAGGTGTACAAGGGGAAGGATAATATTGGCCTCGATAACAGCCTGTTCAACATAAATGAATTCTTCTCAGCTTTTCTTTTTCTTTTCTTTTCTTTTTTTTTTTTTTTTTTTTTTTTTTTTTTGGTTCTTTTCCCTCTCAATAATCTGAGAAAGCCAATTTCTGGCATGAAAGGTTTTGATTAAAGTGACCTAATCTGTTATCTGTATAATAGATGATTGGAACTTTACACTTAGCAACTTCAAAGTAAAAACAAACAGAAGTTCCTCATATTCCTATCTATTGTAAAGAAAAGACACACATTGCTATAGTTGTTAACATTGTCAATCAGCATTATAGCTTTTTGTTTGGAAATGAAGTGTTCCACAGCAACAAAGTGAAACTATAAAACGTTATATACTAAACAGAACAAGAGTGCTTTCTTACAAAACCAGTTGTTGTGAGTGTGTGTGCGACTGTGCGTGTCTGCTACAATCAACATCATAAGTAAAAACCCACCTTATCCGAATTTTATAGTTAAGATTTCCTGAAAATAAAAATCATGAAATAACTAGGGAAAGTTTAAGCAGTAGAATAAGTTTAAGCAACTGACTCCATGGACTAACATAGTCATGAAAATATTAATTGTCGAACAAGTTTAAGCAACATACTAAATGGACTTATAATCAGATGCACAAAGCAACATCTCCCAACGAATACTTTCAACAAGAAACAATTTCAGTTGAAAAAAAGTAAAAGAGATATTTGGAAGAAAAAAAAGATAAAATATCCGCTGTGAATAAACAGAGAACACTATAAAATTTTAATAACCACTCATTTTTTACCAATAAAATCATACTGTCGGTTACTTTTGCGGGGATCATACTTGACCCACACCAGACATGCAACCAGAAAAAATAATAATAATAATAATAATAATAAAGGTTACATGGATGGTGTGTATCACATTTAGTTGGATAAAAAATTCTTCCTAGAAAAAAAATGTGTGTGTGTGTAGAGGGAATCCTATACCTGTATTTGACCTCTATTCCCGGCAGTGATATTTGAGATCGTCCAACAAGCTTCTTTCTTGATGCTTTTCTTATGATTTTGTGTCAGAAGTTGATAGAGACACGGGAGAACTTGGTTGTCAATCACAAACTGCAACATATGTAATGGGTTAGTGAGAAAACTGCAACATATGTCTTTCGTAGCATCATCATGATTCTAAAATATAGTATTACTTGTGAGGTTTATCTACTACTATATATCCCAAAAATGGCTGTTGTGTGTTTCTCTGTCCAATATTCAACGTAGGTACATGAACTTCGTATATGACGTGTCTAGGGATGGATATGTGTCTAAACATACAATTAATCATAAAGATTTTGAAACCCAATAATCCACAGAAATGAGTGAATCTTCATGTGGTTTTCATAATCTTCTTTTATAATTTAAGACAATAGTGTTTTTATGTTATACATAACAGGAGACTTTATGATGTTATACTCTAAACATAATATTGGATATGCATATTGCTAAAAATAAATTTAGCAAGGAGTAAAAGCTTGAGTGTCCCAGTGAGATCACTTTCCAAGAGCAGTAGCGAATCAGTCTAGTAGCTGAGAAAGCATCTTGACATTTCCTCGATACCATACTTTTGATTATTACAATTAATCTTGGATTCCAAAGCCTTTTGCCTATTAGGCTTCTGTTCCTCAAAACCACATTGCCCATTTTCAGCCCTCCTCTTTCTTAGGAAAATGCAGAATCTTGTATCAGAGTGAGCTGTTTGTAATCTCAGTCAAAATTAATTTTCTACGGAGTTTTGTGTGACGTTTTAATAATAAATGCACATATATATATATATATATGTACACCGAAGTATTGAGCTTAGAAACCTTAAAATTCCACAAATTCACGAGAGAGATTTCTAGAAAACAGCTCAAAAAAATATTCAAAATGATTAGCATCCTCCTTTGAAGGATAAGGGTAGTTACAGGGCAGTTATCCACTTATCCTAGTTCATTCCAAGGGCTAGGAGTTAACTCCTCCAAGTTGAGAAGCAAGTCCACTTAAGGCCTCAGATAAGGCAGCATCTTTTATGCTTTTGTAATATAGGTATAAAGCAATTTTCTTTCCACTTATTAACCATATAATATTTTGTTCACTTCAACTCAACAGAGTCCTTTTCCAACTAATTGAAGTTGGCTACATTAATCTTGTTTGTCATTCGGTCGTATCTAAGTCATAGCCTCAGCAAATCATATTTGTCTTTCTAAATTTACTAAAGTCAATTCATTTAGTTCTTACTCATCTTAAATCTTTTTCATTGTAGAACTTCTCTTCAGGCCTCCAATTTAGCACTTACCCCTTTTCCTCTAGTTTCATCAATCAAAACAATATCATCATAAGTTAACAATACACAATGAATCTCATCCTGAATGCGTCTAGTCATACAAAGATATGAGCTTCAAGTTGGCTCATGTTATTATTTTCTACTTTCTAAGAAACATTTTCATTTTAGATATATAGTTGAACCTGAAGCTTTAGAACTTATATTTCTGGTTCTACATTGTAATAATAGTCCATATATGCTTTTTCAAAATCGGTTTTCTGCAATCAGCAGTAATTTTGTTCAATATGACGTTGACATACAAGATTGGTAAGTTCAAAAGAGAGAAAAATCAAGAGAACAACTCATATGTGAAAAGCTTCATAGCTTATAATGTGAAGAAATTTTGTGGTAATGACATAGACAAAATATATATTAAAATACCTGTGTCTGAACATCATCACCGGTGACAATGTTTCCCACTGTCCGAAGTGCAGGTATAAGAACTGTTGGCGATGGATGACTTGTGGAAACAATTTTTTTTAAAAGGACACAAATATAGAAGTTAGTATCAGAAGTCTAGCAGATATCTAACCAAAAGAAGAGAGAGGGAGAGAGAGAGAGAGAGAATCCTGCCCCAAAAAAGAACATAGAAAAAAGTTCCAGCAATAGGTTAGAAGGAGAGTTTGCTAGAAAACGAATTCTATTAACACTAAAGCTACATCTGGTGTGAAAGAATGAAATGAGATAGGAATAGAATACCATTCTCTTTCCACTGTTTGGATACAGACAATAAAATGATGCGGGAATGAAATAACCATTCCTCCCCCAGTGTTTATTTAAAACAAATTAAAATTTGTAATGAGATAAGTTTTAAATTGGTTTTCAAAATTACTCCTACTTCTTGTAGTAAATCAATTGGTATTAACTTTCACCAATCGACTCTACAAAGAATGACCATATAAATAGGTGTATAGGAAAAGATCCATGTTTTCTTTTTTATCCTTGCAATTAGGAAGAGACCATGGTTCGCATTCGTGGTTGCCAATGCAAACGTGGACGCAGTGTAATGGAATCGATATCGGCATAACGTAATGGAATCGGTTATAGTAGTATTGAATTTTTTTTGACCTTGCACGTAAGGCCCAAAATGCATCGATACGCAATTTTTTACAGCATACTGTGATAAAGATGATTTTGTAGTGAATTTTATTGAATTCGTGAAGACCATTTAGCATAAGTTATGATTTATTTATAAATTGCAAGTCACTATCTTTATTAAAAAGCTTAGCTATTTTATTTTTTAGTAATCAATGAATACTAATACATTTAAATTCGAAAAGTAGATTCGAAAAAATATATAAATAAGTCAAAGCAAATAGTGTGAAAAAGTGATAGAAGAACCCTTCCCATGTTTTTAACATCCTAAAACAAATATCATATTATGCTTTATATTTTTAACATTTTAAAATAAATTAATAAATATTAGTTGTAGTAATTTGGGTAGAGTGTTTGTTTTTGAAAACATAGGTCAATAAATAAAGACAACAAATATAATTAAGGAAAGTTAATGGAGCTTTCAAAAAGAAAGCCAACAAATATGTTTATTGAACTATTATTAACACAAAGAAAATCATTGGCATGTTGGATGGGGTGCTGGTGTTTGAAAGAGGGAACAAAGGTTCAACCCTCCTTAGCAGCAAGTTTTCTTAATAAAAATAAATAAAGTTGTCCAGAGCTGGCCGGTTAAGCTGACGATCCCGGCCGTTTCCTATGTGAATTTTGAGTCTCACCGGTAAATCGGTGAGACACTGTATCAGCAGCCAGAAATTCTGTTGCAAACCAGCCAATTCGGCGAACCATGGAAGAGACCCATATAACATTGTCAAATAAAAATATTTCACAAATCAAGGGTTGAACTAACAAACTTTCTTCAACTATATTTAAGACTTGAGTTGGAAACCCAGTTCAAGGGTTTGACAATGGAATGTAGAGAGAGAAAGAGGGGTTGTCATTAATATGTTGCTTGTGGTGTGCATTTCTAAATCCCCATGTTCGATCACGATGGTAGTATATGAGAGAGAAGTAGTAAACATACGGAGAGAGCAAATAGAGCGAGGTTTGGGCCATCGCCGGAGGTTGGGTGCCGTAGGCAAGTTAGGTCATTTGTGTTTGAGAGAGCAGTAAGGAAATCAAGGGCTTTTTAGTCCTAAGTTATTTTATTTTAGATCTAGGTGGGAATGGGCATTTCTTAGGTCAAGAAGAGGAATGCTCATTCCAACTTTCTGTTAGAATAGCCATTCCAAGGGAATGGTCGTTCCAACTTTAATATGGCTTACCAAACTAAGGTTATATTAATCAAAAGGCGAAATGGCCATTCCATTTCATTTCATTCCAGCAAACCAAATGTAGCCTAAGAGAAGATCTGAATGAGGTCAATGCATAAGTTCAAAAGTTCTTGAGAAACAGGAACATACAGCAGAAGCTCCACGAGTCGAGGACAGACGCCTGCCTCAATCACAGCTTGAATTTTGTCATTGGGGCCATCAGAAAGATAGGAAAGTGCCCAGCAAGCATCTGTTAGAACTTCTTCATCATTCAGGTGGATAAGTTGCCGAAGAACTGGCAGTGCGGGTTTAACCTGACAAAATCAAAAAGAAAAAATTACCATACCAGCTTAACCCGGTCAGGAACGGTAACCAATGATTACCCCATTTGCAAGTGTGGGCAAATCAAAATAATATAACTTTCGGAAGCCTCCAACCTGTTCAAATGGTGTTGGAGGCTTGCCTCGGCAGAAGTTAGATAAAGTCCATGTAGCATTTCTCAGCATGGAAAGTTTCGAATGTTCATTTAGCTGAGCTAGCAAAGGCAATAGGGCACCGTGACTGAGAACAAGATTCCTACAACTTGGAGAGTCACCAGCAACGTTACCCAAAGCCCATACAGCCTGTTTATAAGATAGAAAGTAAGAAATGAAGAATAGTTAGCAATCATAATAAAAAAAAATATATAATAACCGATCTAGGCTCAAAATACTTAGATAATGGGATTCTACAAAATTTAGAATAAATAACGATGTAAAATTTTTCAGAAGCCTAAAATTTGGCAATACAATGGGAATAAAAATGGAAAATATGAAATAATTCAAATAAAATATATAAAAGCGTGGCAAGGGGAATAACACAACTTGGAATTTAGATTTGTTACATGATAACCTCAAGTTTTTATTACGAAAGACAGCTAAATTGAAGTCGAGAAACTCAAGTGCTACTAGATTAAAACATAAATTTCAAAATTGAGGGAATTAGTCACCACAGGTTCTCAAATAACAAATATGTCTTGCGACAAAAGGGGGTAAGAGTCTACCTGCTCACGAACATCATCACTGGCAGAGCCAAGAAGTTGCACAAACTTGGGGACAGCACCTTGTTCAATGACAACTTGTGTATGCTCCGACGTCCCAGATGCAACATTGGTCAAAGCCCATGCTGCCTCAAACTGCAATCAAAGGCAAAATCAGGCTGATGGTGGAATCTGGAATACAAAATATAGAAGTTGAATGGGAAAAAGAGAAGCAACAATGGTCCCTACTTGCAGTTGAGGTAGATCATGCCTTCCAAGAAACTCTACAAACCGAGGTACCACACCTGCTTTGATCACCTCATCAATTGGAGGGCTGCGCTCTGCACAGAATGCAAACTAAAGCTCAACGCTATAAACAATTAAAATCCTGAAAAAAGAAATTTCCAATGTTGAAACTGCATGGATACCAATTGACAATAGCTTCCTGAACTGGGTAGTCGCTTCAATTTGCAAAGCAGGATCCTCAGACCATACTCCTTGCACCATCAAAGGAATACTTTCCAACTATTGAACACCACAAAGAACAAATGGTGAACATCGAGAATACAATTATCAGAACAAGTAGCACAAACTAGAAACTCAACACAACTAACCATACGTTTGAGTGCAGAAACATGAAGTTCAAATGTATTTAGTTTTTCTCTTCTTTGCAATAATCCCCAAAGTAACCAAGCAATCCCCAGACAAAACACCGGTATGCCAGCATACCAAGGGGTTTTCAGTCTGATGAAGGAATTTTAAGATTTTGCTAAATATGAAATAAGCAAAAATCCTACGTGGGTTTTTGAAGCATTTGGAGTTGCTGAGACTGTAAAAGAAGCCCTTGCCTGAATTTCTAGGGCATTTGAAGTTGTTGAGACTGTAAAAGAAGTCCTTGATTGAGTTTCTACGGCAGAATTTTCTATTCTCTTTGGTTTCTAAACAAGTAAAGTTCAACCCAGCTAAACCAAATAGTTGTTTCCCAAATCTAAGATTCAAATCATTGATCTGTTCCTTTTCCTTTTTTTTCTGTTTTGTTAATTTGATCTTAATGTACTTCCTAGAATTTATGATCGATCAAAGGCATCAAAAGAAATCGCATGGACAACCCACCAATCAAACATCAGTATACAATCAGAATCAGAAGATTTTAAAGGAGACGAATGATGAAATCTGTTGTATTAAACCCAGTAATTAAGATTTCATTTTCCTAACTAGAGAAAATTCTAAAATCCAATTACTGATCCAATTCCTCTTTCCTACATTTTCTCTACTACCAAACATGACCCAATCGAACACGCATCAAAACCCATAAATCAAAGATCAATACACAATCAAAATCACAAAATTCAAGTAGGGCGAAATCGGTATATACCCTCTTCTCGATGGCGGCTGGGGTTTGGGATGCATCGGAGAGTTGCTGAGACTGAAGAAGAATCCCTTCCCTTCGCTTCTTGAGAAGATTATCCTCGCGCTTGTTCTTCCTGATCTCCACCAAATTGTCCTCTCTCCTCCGCCGTGCTTCGTCTGCATCGACCCCAGTTTTGTACGATTTCTTGCGGACCTCGGTGCGAGTACTGGGTCGCAGAGACATTGTCCGTGCTTTCTCTCTCTAGATTGTTTCTCTCTCTAAAAAGGAACGAAGAAGAAGAAGCGTACCGACTTCGAATATGGAAAGAGAAGTTCAGAACTTACAGATCGAGGATTTTGGTAGTGTATGGGTATAATATGTACTGCTCAATTGTAAAAGAGAATTATATATATATATATATAGACACACACACACACACAACACACATATACTCTCTCCGGTGTGAGAGTTAACTTGCTCCTGAGATTACGTTTGGGTACAAACCACGTCATGAGTCACACGAGGATTATTCCGTCTTTTCACCATTTTGTTTTTCAGTTTTTGTTCTTGTACATGCATTGGAGTCATTAAATTCATATGCTATAAGTAATGTGCACTTTAATTTACTACCATAGGACATGTTAAATGATTGGTTTTCCCGGGAACATGCAGATGAATGAAAATTTTATACACTATGAGGTGTTCTAATAAGTTGGTCAAAAAAAATATATGCTCATGCATTTAATTTTCAAAAGAGTCATGCTAATAATACGGAAAAAAAAACAACTGAAACTTTTGTAGTTTCCATGAATACAAAGGATCATACATTATTTTTGCTACTCTCTTTGGTTTATTATTTTTTCAGCTAATTATTTTCCTTTTCAAAAATTAAATTATCTCACTCATTGCACTTTTATGCTTTTACAATGTTATTAATATGTAAAATTAAATGGACTATTAAGTATGGAGCTGACTTTTTTACCTCTCTCCTTCTCAGTATTATTTTTTAGGGTGAAATGCTCTATCCCCTGAAGTTTCCCTTTATCCGTAAAATTAAAGGTTTAAATTTATAAAATCGTGTTATTTACAAAAACGACATATAACTTCTTCAATTATTAGAAAATTTCATAAATTATTGTTGCGTCATAATTTATTAAATGATAATAATGCCCGTAATAGTATATTAATATTTTATTAAACTAAAATTGATGATTTTAAATGATAATTATGTCCTAGTGTCTTTACGCTTACACACGTGTCAGCAGTATTGGATGCTGACTTTAATTTTCTTTTCTTTTCTTTTTTTTCAACTGGACATTCTCTCTCTGTCCCTTTTCAATTCCATTCCAGCTTGGCTATACATGCACATATATTGAGAGCGATATAGAGAGAGAAAAAGAAGAAATAGTTTTAGAGAGAGAAAGTGAGTGAATCAATTGACCACCGATGAAAAGCTGGCTCATGTATGAAAGGATGGCAATGGTTGAATAAGTTGTTGTTAATGCTCTGAGCTGTCACCAAAAATATATGTAAGGGGCTCGACGGAACTGTTTGGCCGGACTGGATTGAAGCTCGCCGGAATTGGGTCCCTTGAAGAAACTTTATGTCGGGTATATCGAGGCTCACCGGATGCGCATGCATGAAAGTGTAGCTCACTGGATGATTACCGAAATGGGTAAGCCTCGCTGAACTGGGTCTCATCGATCTTCTTGCTAACAGGCTATAAGCAAATAGATGCCTCTGGAGAGAATCCAAATCCTTTATTTTCAAAGATAATGATGATTCATTTTATTGGCTAAATCAATTCAAGAAATCCCTCGTTTGTCTCCTTCATTGCAGCCTTTCAATGTGCCCAGGCTATTGTTCTTCTTCTACTTTTCACTTGGTGTATTATGGGCTAATGATCCTAATCCAGATTAGATTTGGGTTATTGTTGAGAGAGACGATTTAGATTAATGTTATTAAGTGATTTACTAGATAACGTGGCCTTTTTATACCCCTTAGGATCTAACTCCAAGGGATACAGTAGAGAGATAACGCTTAGGAGGATCCAAATTTGTGAGGTTACTGTTAGTTTGCCTCCCGATAACATGTTTTTCTACTTACTATTTTATTTTGGGTGCCTATTTTTTGAGAATTCAAGAACACTTTTTTGTTTTTTTTAAAACTTGAATTATCAAGTGTTTGTAACTCTAAAAATAATTCTCAAGAATTGCATGTTTGTCATCCTAGCAAGTTTATATTGTTGATTCAAGGCTGTTGAAGTTGAATATTAACCAGAAAAATGACCATCTCATTGTTCGACCCTTATTCGAGTTCTCTTTAGAGTCACGAAGAGTGTTTTAATGAGTAAAGATTGAATTTTTGAATGAAAATGCTTCAATCAAGTACCTTTTAAGTCACTTAATCGAGTTTCATTTGAAGTCACAAAGAGTATTTTAATGTGTAAAGATTGAATCAATGAACCCTTTAAGTCCCTAGACCAATAAACTTATTCGAGTTCCTTTTGAAATCATGAATAGTATTTTAATTAGTAAAGATTGAATCTTTGAAAGCTATTTTCAGATAACTATAAAAAAACATTTATATAAAAACATGCATTTTTATAACTAAATTTTCAGGGAAAAAAAGTTTTCAAAGAATTGAACCAGTCAGAGTCTTTGTACAGTTTTCTGTTTTCAAAAAATTAGAAATATAAAATTGTTTTCAAATTTACAAACCAAGCAGGCCCCAACTTTTCACTTTGAGAAGTAGAGACTACAAGCCTGTGTTTCTGTCTGCTTTGTCCTGTTGGGTTTGTGGCTCAAAATTGTGTGCAGAAATTAATTTCCTTTTTCGTTTTGAAATGCTTAAATTTGTGAAGGAAATTGTGTCCCATTAAGTTTTTATTTTAGAGTTGAGATTAATATGGTAACTCTTTGTATACAAGTTGGGGAATACTTGTCCAACAAGGAATTGGGTTTTGAAGACTCTATAAATAGAGGTGGAAGTGAAGGGTTTAGAGAGAGAGAGAGGAAAGAGAAAAGATGTAAAGGGTTTAAGGGTGAGTGTTGTGAGGAGATAAGTGAGTATCTCTTTCTTACTTCATAATATTGAAATCTCTCTCTCTCATAGACATAACCCTAGAGTTGGGTGAACCATGTAAAATATTGTGTTGTGCGTGGATGTGTATGATTGTTATTTCCATATATACTTGTGTTGATGTGACGTAATGATGTTTCTGTTATGTGTGATGAAGGAGGGATTTAACTTTCAACAACAGCCGACCGCTGGTGGGTTAGAGGGAGTTAATTATCCCCAACAACTTGTATCAGAACCAATGGTGGGTCAAAGCCTGTGATTGGTCCTGAAGATTAGTAGAAGAAAATTGGTGTAAAATTTGTTAGAGCAGAAGATGATCGTGAGGTGCTATGAAAATTCAATCAAGAGTTGACGATGATACGAAGGTATGAAGAAGGTGATGGTGTGAAGCCCATGAGGAACAAGTCTTGGAACAAGCTAGAGGATGCTCATTTTCAAGATAGGGCAAAGGTGATAGAGTTAAAGCCCACAAGGAACAAGTTTTAGGGACAAGCTAATAGTAGTGCTAGTTCTCAAGATAAGGCGAGAATGAAGAGGTTTGCTCTAAACCCGATAAAGAGTAAAGGGGAATATAAAGAGTGAAGATGAGAGGTTTGTTGCTTTGATCTAAAAAAACAATTGATGAAGATGAGTTAAAAATTGGTAGGTTGCCATGCTTAAGCAATTGAACACCAATGGAATTGATAGAGAAGATAGAAGAAAAATAAAGAATGATGAATTTGAGAAAAGGTGGAGATTTCTCAAGTTCATCATAGTGCTTTATTTGAGATGAAGAAATTTTCAGTTGAGTTGGAGCTATGAAGAGATCCTTGTTTGAAGTGGAGCTATGGAGGAGCGTGTGAAGACCAATTTCGAGCCAAGGTGGAGATTGTTGGGTTTGTGGCTCAAAATTGTGTATAAAAATTAATTTCTTTTTTCGTTTTGGAATGCTTAAATTTGTGGAGGAAATTGTGTCCCATTAAGTTTCTATTTTAGAGTTGAGATTGATATAGTAACTCCTTATATGCAAGTTGGGGAATACTTGTCCAACAAGAAATTGGGTTTTGAAGACTTTATAAATAGAGATGGAGTAAAGGGTTTAGAGAGAGAGAAGAAAGAAAAAATGTAAGGGGTTTAAGGGTGAGTGTTGTGAGGAGATAAGTGAATATATGTAATTTCCAAGTGTATACATGTAGCCTCATAAGAGATTGTAGGCACCAAAAATTTGTGATGGTCTAATCATCGTCGGATCAGTCAAGAAGTCAAATATTCTTTGATTAATTAAATCCCACAAATGAATTCAAATTTGAATTTGAATTGATTTCATATAAAAGGAAACAAATTCTTTATTTGATTTCAATATAAAAGGAAAAGGAAACAAATCCCTTATTTGATTTCAATATAAAAGGAAACAAATCCTTTATTTATGAAAAAATCGCACAATTGAGGAGTTTCCAAATTAGACGACCTACTCTTTGGCCTATAAATACAAGACCACCTTACAAGAGAAAAGGGGACACAGAGAAAGAGACAAACAGAACATCGAAGCTCTGACTCAACAAAGACTCCAAAGTTTCTGAAGAAGAACAACGACACTTCGAAGTTTCTGAAGAAGAACTACACATACGCCATTCTTCATCAAAGACTATCAAATCCACCGTCCGAGATCAAGCCTTACTGGCCCTCGTTCAGAAATCCATTTGAGTTTTCTTCAATTTCGAAGAACTCAAATACAATTCAACCATCGGCCTAAGATCAAACTTCCAAAGTCCTTGCACCGACATTCCAAAGAGACTCAATCAGAGAAAGATTCTAGTTATAGTGAATCGAACATAGAGAACTGTACTCATTTATATTCTAATATTATTTAATAAAGTTATTGTTATCGCATTTATTTTCGTTCCTGAAATTCCGGAATCAAAATTTGTATGTACAGAGATGATAAGTGAGTCATTAAGGTTTTGACATGTGGTTGTATATTCTCTTTCTTGCTTTATAATAGTGAAGTCTTTCTCTTCCATGGACCTAACCCTTTAGTTAGGTGAACCATGTAAAATATTGTGTTGTGTGTGGATGTGTAAAGTGGCATAGCCACAGAGGGACAAGTGGGGGCAGTTGCCCACACTGAATTTTTAATTTTTTAAAATTTTATATGGAAAGATTTTTATATTTGTATAATTATCTCCTCTAAAATTTGACAATATATACGTGCACTATATATATATATATAACCAAATGTTCATTCACGATTATCTATCAATTTATACTTTTCTAGAAAATATGATATCCTTTCCACTTTCCCAAAATATTATATTCTTTTCCACTTAAAAAAATATATATATATATTTCATCAAGTTATTCTATTATACTTTTG